GCAGCGGGGCTGCCAGTGATGAGAGGAAGGGGGAAGAAGGGAAGAGACAGGGAAGAGAAAAGAAGGGGGATGGAGCTTCCCGCCCTCTGGACTGGTCACCTGTGGGATCCACTAGAGGACAGCACGGGCCATGGGAATATTCCTGCCTTCATGCTCTGGTTGCGCAACAGAATCACCTGGGAGCTCTAAAGAATAATGCTGCCTGGGCTCCACACACAGAAATTTTGATGACGCTTGATCTGAGGTTTGGTCTGGGCGCTGGGAGTTTTAAGAGCTCCCCGGGTGGCTCTAATGTGCACTGGGCTGGCCATCTGCTTCTCCAGAGGGAGAATGATCGTGGGGACCCTGGATAAGCCCGGGGATTGTGCAAAAGGAGTTGAAAGGGAATGGTTGGTATGAGTCAAGTGCAGTCATTCTGTAGGTACTCCTAGGAGAACTGCAAGTGAGGGGCTAGAAAAAGCATAAGATTTTTGGGCGACTTGTATTCACAGCCCGCTTGGCCTTTAGGCTCTGTGTCTCTGAGGAGTGAGGCTTCTCACCCAGTGTGCCTGCCTGTCTCTCGGAGAGCAGTGGCATGGTGAGGTCTTTGCAAGGGCCATTAGGCCCTGGAGAGTCAGCCCAGGCAGGTAATGGGGAGCTGCTCTGGGATCCTGAGAATTAGAGATTAAAATACCAAGTCCTGGGCCTCATTGCCTTGCCAGATTCTGGTTTCATAGGTCCGGGATGGGGTCTGGGCCTCAGCATTTTAGAAAAGCTCCCCAGGTAACATGAAATCAGGGCCAGGCAGCCTCTTCCTGCTCTGAAGTCTACAATTCGCCTCTGCTGGGCCCCATCCCAGCTGCATCTACTGCCCCAGCCCCACACTCTGTTTTGTCGGGGGCGCCAAGACTGTGACACAGTGGTCCTCGTTGCCAGCTGTATGCCTTTCCTATTGCTGCGGCAACAAATGACCATACACTTAAATGTGTGGCTTAAACAATACACATTCATGAGTTTATAGTTCTGGAGGTCCAAAGTCTGACATGGGTCTCCGTGGGCTGGAAGCAAAGTGTTGGCAGGGCTGTGTTTCTTTCTGAAGGCTCCAGGGAGACTCTGTGTGTGTGTCTTGCCCAGCACCTAGAGGATGCCTGCGTTTCTTGCCCCTTTCTTCACGTTGAAGCCAGCAATGTCGCATCTCCCTTTGACTGACAACAGCTGGGAAAGGTTCTCCACTTTTAAGGACTTACGTGATTAGATTAGGACATCTAGATAATCCAGGATGATCTCCCCATCTCAGAGTCCTTAACTTTAATCACATCTGCAAAGTCTCTTTTGCCAGGACAAGTAAAACAGTTACAGGTTCCAGGGATCTGGACATTGACAACTTTGGGGTTATTGCTTTGCCTGACACGCCAGACCGGGCACTGCTTCTTCCCTTCACTCTGATCATCCTGCCCTTCGTGGCTCGGCCGACCAACTGTCGTAGATGCATGAGCAAGGAAAAGTCTATTTCATTTTTAAATGCATAAAAATCAACATTTCCTTTTATCCAAAAAGTGCTTCCCAATTTTTATTATGAAGAGCATGTGTGATTCTGTTCCATTTATACTAAAATTGGGCCATAAAATGAAAGCTTATGGAAGGTCTAGAGGACATCTAGCACCTGTAGATCTAGGCTGCAGCTAAAATGCAAGCCGTTTGGCCACCGTCATTCTGTTTACTAGAGTTCACCTAACAGCTGCTTGCCATGGCTGTGCTTTCGTTTAACCTCTTAGTGTATCTGTTGGCATCAAATGCAATTATGAGCCTGTTGGTTGTATAATTTTAACTTAGAATTCATGTGCAAGGCCGGGCGCTGTGGCTCACGCCTGTAATCCTAGCTCTTGGGAGGCCGAGGCGGGCGGATTGCTCAAGGTCAGGAGTTCAAAACCAGCCTGAGCAAGAGCGAGACCCCGTCTCTACTATAAATAGAAAGAAATTAATTGGCCAACTGATATATATATAAAAAAATTAGCTGGGCATGGTGGCACATGCCTGTAGTCCCAGCTACTCGGGAGGCTGAGGCAGAAGGATCACTCAAGCCCAGGAGTTTGAGGTTGCTGTGAGCTAGGCTGATGCCATGGCACTCACTCTAGCCTGGGCAACAAAGTGAGACTCTGTCTCAAAAAAAAAAAAAAGAAAAAAAGTCTAAATTTCGACTCAGCTCTCCTAAGAAAACCAAGGGAAGGAATCTTGGGCCGGATGCGGGGCGTGGGGGAGCAGCAGCCATGGTCCCAGAGGAGGAGGAACACTGAGTCACCGAGCCCTCCTCCTGTGGTTGGGTCCCCCTCAGCCCAGGCCTGTCTTTGGAGTGCTTGTTCTAGACCAGAAGGTCATTCCTTTGTAAGGCTTCATTTCCTCACTGTACAGTGAGGAAGAACCAGGTGCTCTGTAAGGCCTCAGGGCTGTGACTCCAAGAAAGCAGGGGCGATTCCAGATGGAAGTAAAGAGAGCATTAGAATCCGGTGAGGACCCTAAATGCCACGAGAGCAACCAGATCCCCAACCAGCCAGAAACACAGATCTGCATCTACCTCCTGCCCTTTCCTGCCTGTCTCCCTTTTTCCCTTTTTCTCTGTATACACCAGTCCTATCCACTAAAGGAAGGATTGAAGGCAGCCACCCAGGCAGGGTGGCCAGGCAGCTGAGACCCAAAGCGACGCGTCTCTTCTCAGCCTCCTCACGCCCTTGGTAGGCCGCCCTGCAATTTATTTCATTTCCCACATTGCATGGAGGGGTGTATAACCTCCGTGCAACCCATCAATGCATCATTGATCCTCCCACCTCGCCGGGACCCCGAGGCTGGAAGCAAGGTGGAGGCGGCTCCTCTAGTCTGTTAGGCCCACGTTCATTTGTTGGATGTCTTCTGAATACAGAGCCAGGCACTGACTCGCAGAACGCCAGGGCGGGCAGAGCCCTAATAAATCATCCGCTCTGACCTCCGCGCTTTCCAGATGGCCGCACTTACACGGAGAGGTTAAGTGACTTGCTTAAGGTCACCCTGCGGAGCTAAGGCCAGAATTCAGATAGCCTTGGCAGCGGCTCGTTGTGTTTTCTGCTCCCCCCTGTTGCCGGGGGAGGGATAGAAGATGATGGATTAGCTTATGTGAGCATAAAACGGAGGGACACACACACATTTCCCTGAAGTGCTCCAAATTAATAAGGACCCTGGATGGAAAAAAGGCAGATAGCAAGGGACTTCTTAGAATGTAAAATTGAAAAGCATGGGGGGGGGGAGCTCTTCCTTGTGAATGGCGATCACATTAGGAAAATGAGAGAGAAAATGATTTTGGGGGCGGGCATCTTTATTGTTTTTCCTTCTCTGCTACATTTGTTCCCTAATCCATGTTCTCATCAGCAACACTATTCTCAGGCCATTTTTCTTTTCCTTGACATATTTATCACCTTATTTTCATATTATACCATAAACCTTGGTATACACAAGCTTTTAAAGCAGCTATTTTTAATGCAAGATAACACACCAAGTTTTGAACCCCCCAATAAAATTGACTAGGGACATCTGGCACTAAAATGCCTACATTTTCTCCTAGAAAAGCCTGCTCTTTGTTTGCTATCTGTAAAAAGGAACACAGGAATGAAAAGGGGTTGACATTTTGAAAACAAGAAAACAATAACCAAAAAACCCTCTTCTTTTCTTATTTCAAGTCAAAAGCCTCTAGACAGATCATTTGACATTGAGAGGTGGCATTCACAGCAATTGGTTATTTTTATATAATTGACTCTGACTTCGTTCAAATGCCAGTTAACTAATCTCCTAATTTTTCCTCACAAGAATAGAAGACAGCACTAAACGTGTTACTGGAATTTAATTCTAAAAATAAAAATGTTATAGGTTCTTTTGAAAATAAAAGCTTTTTTGTTTATTTCTCTTGACAATACAAACATAAATATTCTAGTGTCTTCATTATAACAACCTTGGTCAAAAGGCTGCTCCAGGAGCCCCTTGGGAAACCTTTTAGGGGCTGGAGAGCCCCCTGGGTATTGTCAGGTGTGGATGTTTTGACTTTTCAGGAGAGTGAATAAGCTGTGACTGCAGTTTCTCAGCAAGAGGCACCAAGGTCAATGTTATTAGTTTCCACGTTCAGTGGTCCTTTGTGGAAGATGTGACGATTATCGCACCCTCAAATCATTCTTGGTCAAAAGACCACCTACTTGAGATGCATGCATGAATCTGAGATTTATGCATGCCTGCCCTTTTGATTGTTGATTGTGTGTCAATATCTGTTTTAGCGCAAAACCAATGCAGATCTGAAATAAGAGCAATTTATTATCCCAAAGAAGAGGAAGAAGGTTGAGATTGGCTGTCAATATGAGCCCTTGAATTTTACCCTAAGTAAATAATAAAATGAACTGGGGACAGTCACCTAGGTGCTCAGCTGACTGACAGGGGCCATCTTTCTGCCCACCCATTCTTCCCCATTGCCCGATGAGCTTTTCTAGCACTGGTGCAGAGACGTCAGGTTATTTGGAGAAGACAGAAGGTACAACCTAAAGCACTGTGTTCTCTAGGTGTCTTACCTACAGGTGGACAGGTTGTAGCACAGGGTGCAGTCCCTCAAACAAATGCTCTAATAGTTAGGGTTGAATGGGGATCCAACTTTCTTGATCTACAGATGAGGAAATTGATGATCAGAGAGGTGAAGGCCTAGCCCAAGGTCACACAGCTTGTTAGTGGCTAAGCTAAGACTTGCACCCAGCTCTTCTAATTCCCAGACAAACAAATACTCTACCCATCATAGATGCAAATACCATTTACTTACAAGGGTTTATTAACCCATCCTTTCCTTCAGGGAGTCTCAGATTTCTTAAATGGCATCTGGATTGTTTCAGCTTTTTTCATTTCCATTTCCATTAGAGAAAAGAACAAACCTGTGCTCTAGAACATGTTGGTAATATTTGTGGCATAAAATTAAGTACGCAGCATCACTGGGTTTCTGGATTCAGACCATTAACTGCACTTACCCATACTGAACAACACCCATCAGTGGACCCACAGGGCCAATGTCAAGAGCTTGGGCAACGTCAGCCAGGAACTGCTTCTGGATTCGGAATCGACGTTTGCCAATGCTGGAGCTCCCGTCGATTAAAAACGACAAGTCGACTTTGCAGTCTGAAGAATGGAAAAAGACTCTATTATTCTAATGATCTCCCACTGTCTCTACCTGGGCACCCTCTCATTCCTCTTTCTCCACCAGCCTCCTGAGATTCCCATGAAAAGACAGTAAAAAAAGAGATAGTAAAATGCAGGCTATATTCATTTATTTATACCCCAGCAGAGCTTCCCTGAGCAGCGAGGTCCAGGACACTCGGGCTAGCTCTTATTTCCATGACTGTTTTAGAATTCTATGTCTCAGTCACTATTGTGTTGCAGAAGCAGCGACGTCCCAGCCTGGCTTGGGAAGGCCCTCAGAATGGTCTTCTAGCCTCAGACCAGAGAAATACAGACGCCCCAAGGTGGGAAGTCACCAAGACCAAGTCTCAAGAGCCTGTGGTCTTTTACTCTCATCCTAACTTTTTAGAAATAAGTGTTAGATTTTTATAGAGGCACGAAAGAATCAGCAAGGCCAGTGCTGAGGGGAGAGAAGGAATTGTAAAACAAGAAATTGATACCAATCTTCTCCTTCACTTCCCTAGGGGAGGCAACCAAAGAAATTATCCACATACATCTATGGGATATTAGCACTTGTTTGTAGCTATCCTAGATGTATTTCCCCTCCCCTCCCTCCCTCCCTCCCTTCCTTTCTAAACACCAGGATAGTTGTTCTGGTTTAGTATCTCTGGACTTCTGTGAATATATGAAGGTTCTGATAGAGGTGGGGGGAGAGTGGTGCTGCAAACTCTTTTCAAGATTTCAAACACTAACAGGAATTACTGAAAAGCCACACAGGCTAATAGAAATCAGTGTTTTCTTTGCTCTCAACTGAAAAGATATCAACACAGTGTGATAAAAACTGACCATTCAATGCTGATCAGAGGTTCTTATTGGGAGTTATATATCCCTTTGATTAGTAAAAAGAGAAAAATGAATTATTTAACAGCTGCAATTTGGGAGACAAATATGTTAAAAACAGAGTTTTGTAGAGGGAAAGAGAGAGTACAGTTAGATGTTTCTGGGCCGGAGTAACTAAGAGGACACAGGGGCCAACCATGTCCTTGGGGGGGGGCAGCTGCCAGGTGAGCCTGCCTCTCTCCCAGGTGCTCGGTCACCCACGTTCCCCACGGCATATGGCTGCAGTGGGGCTGGAATCTTTTAAAAAATGAAAGCAATAAATGGATCTGAGTTGACAAAGTTTTAAGCAAAAGAATTGATGAGAGGTGTTTATTGATGAGTGCTACTACAGGGCTGTCAGAGTAAGGAAAAAAGTTACATCTGAGACTGTGTTTTGTTATCCTGCAGTGGTGCATGGCAATCCAAACCAGAGGAGAAGTAGAGGACAGCAACCTGTCTGGGTCTGGCCACCTCTGCTCCATCCAGAATCAGGGTTGTGCCTCGGCTCATCAGCAGATCTCAAAAGCTTTTACCTCCTGTCCACCTGGGGCTACCAATTAATTCTTCCTTTCAGCTGGCTTTCCTTGTCCTTTGCTGCCCCCAAACTGCCTATAGCCAAGCATGACTCTCGAAGTGAAGAGTGAAAGAGGAAAATAAAATCCAGAAGTGGAGTTTAAAGCTGCCACTAACACCTGTGATAAAGCAGAAGAGAAGCCTAACTGCTGTATCAGTTCTTGTTGCTCCCTAAGCAAGGGCCAGCTCGTTTTTTTTTGTTTTTTTCCCCCCAGGTCTGGGCTTGCAGTATGAATTGCTGCCAGCAGGTGTCAGTGGTGTTCTTTAGGGCTGGCCACCCACCGGCACTTAACAGTTGCTAGACTCCCAGGCTCCACCCAAACCTACAGACTCAGATCTGCATTTTAACAAGATCTACAGGTGACTGGTGAGCACAGTGAAGTTTGAGAAGTACTCTTGAGGTGGGGCTTTTCTTCCAGATGTCAGCAGATTAGTTCAATATGCCTTTTAAAATAAAATCTTTTTTGGGGGAACATCTGTTAATTAGAGTAAGGGCCAAAGGGGATTTTCTTTTTAAGTGAATAAGGTACATGGGTTTTGTAGCATCTATTTTGGTTCCTCACAGACAGGTTTTCTTCCTCATTTCTTATATCATGACCTGTGTTCAGGATTGAAACATTCATTTCACAGCTAGGTTTTAAGAACGTGAGGCATTTCTCTATTTGCCTCATTCTCTTTACTCACTAGCCTGATGGCTGGTATCAAGGTTACCTTTGCTCCCCTTTCTCTGAATGTCTCAGACAACAATGGTTCCAGCTCGGGGCATGTGCTGACTGAGACCTATGGCTTTCTCATACTGAGGTGAAAATATGCTGATCTGAAAATGACAACATCAATACTAATGACTTAGTATTTCATAATTGATTCACAAAATATTCAGTATGCATGATTATGGTCACAAAAGAGGAGAGGTTGGAGGATGAGAAAGAAGAGGTAAGATACAGCATCTGTGGGAATCGATCTACCAACTTTCTTAATTGCTTTGTTTTTCTTCAACATGGTACAATTTTATAGATTAACGCTTTGTGTTGTCCAATATATCAGGCCAGTGTTTCTTAACCCTGGATATACATCAGAATCACACATCTGTCAGAGCTGCTTATGCAGCTTCAATGAGTAAAGACTCCTGGGAATCACTCTAGACAGTGCTTCTCAAGGGTCCACGTGCATAAGAATCACTTGATGGTATCACTTGTAGAATCAGCAGGTTTGGGCTGGAGCCGGAGACTCTGCATTTCCCAGGCCACCCTTTGAGTAGTGAGAGAGAGTCTGATATAGTAGGCATGAGGCAGGAAGTGGGCATCTTTAATCTGAAAAATGTCTTCAGGTGATTTATGCAGCAACATTGAGCCTCACTGCCCATGGGTGGCTGCAAACTAGCAGCAACTTTCTGAAGGAATTTGCAAGTGCCTTCTTTCTATGTCTTGCAAGGTACTACATCTTTCTGGTTTTCCTCCTTTTCTCTGGTCCCTTCTTTCTGGTAGCCTCAGGTGGCTGCTCCTCCACCTAGTTCTACTCTACCCTTTCTCCCTGGGTCACATTTTCTGTTCTTGTAGTCTCAGTTTTGAACCATAGCTCATTGTCTTCCAACTCTAAATTTCTGACTAGCTGTTCCTTCTGCATGTCAGATCTGGGTAGTTATCTCTCTGCCAGATCCAATGTCTCAGGGAAGATGACACATATAAACAATGTCCCTGCCCCCTACCTGCCCTTCCCCAGTGTTCCTCACTGCAGGACCATTTACCCAGTTGCTCAAATCACCTTTAACTGCTCCCTCTTTCACACTTCCACCTCCACCCCTATAGATTCTTCCTTCTCTGTATCTCTTGAATTTGCCCATTTCTTTCTATTTCCACTTCCAACTCTGAACTCCAGCTACCATCATCTCCACTGGACCACTGGTCCTGTCAGTCTGCCTATAACCTCCTTTCATCCATCCTTGTCTGTCTATTCCATGCCATTCTTCACCCTGTTGCCATAGTGATGTTCGAAAAATCTGATCCTCTCCCCCTCACACACATAGACAGTTTAAATCCTTCAAAAGCTTCCCTTTCTCTTTAGAACAAAGTGACAGAAAAGAGGAGATAAATAGATCCATGGTAGGAGAGAGGCGGGCTTGGGTGGGAGTGAGTGGGCAGAGAGGAAAGACAGCAGATCAGATGTCAAAGCCACCCTGGGTTTCTAGTTGTCAATTAACTTACTTGGATCTCCCAGGGATACTGGCTCCAAAGACTGTGTGCTTAATTCTTCTTTTGGAACAAATCCTGGAAAGAGCAGTAAAACTTTTGGTGACTTACAAGCACAGGAAGCATCTGGCCTTACCCCAGGGAAAGGGACATAACAGATATTTACACCCAGCTCGGGGGCTTGGCTTACAGATAACTGTGTTCTTCTCCACATCACCCCATCCTGAGAGAAATAAGAATAAATTAATATTTACTGACAGCCTACTAAAGACACAGGACTCTGCTGGGTTCTCAGGGGGATTTGAAATCAGGAGACTTGAGTTCTGCTCCTGTTAATTTATTCTATCAGGCCCTTAGCTTTCTTATCAGAAAGCAGTAAGCACTTTGCCAGTGTAAATTATGCCTTTGTAAAATGCTGAAACTCTTGAGGTCAGAGAACATGTCTTGCTGGTATAAACTTTCACTGTGCCCAGCACATGTAGGTCCTCAGTCAACATTTGGTGATTGAATCAATGAACAAAGACGTGTGAGACACAAGGATAATCTAATGAGGGTTGGGTGTAGGTTGGACGAGAAGAGTTTAGATAAAAGTAACTCGTATAAGAAGGTCTACAATGCAACTCTTCTCCCCAGTTGTTTGAGACTAGAGGTAAAAATACGAAAAGGTTTCATGCTCTGAGAGGCTGTGTAGGTTGAATTTCAGCCTTAGGGAGGTAGGGGTGCCTTTAGAGCCATTTACATGGGAGCCAAGTTCATAAATATACCACGGAGGGAAATAAAGACAGTAAGTGAGAATCCTTTTGGGCTTCGTAAGACCAACGGGCTTTGCAGGCAGAGCGGACTTGCAGCACCGGAAGTGAGTCTCCTGGTTTTCCGGACGCCCGGAAGTTCCGCCGCGGAGGAAGGTGCTGGGGTCTTTTCCTCGCTCTTGGCTGCCGAACGCTTTCTCCTGGCTTGTTATTTTTTCCAGTTTGCAAAGCACATGATTTCATCGTCCTATTAAAGGTCAGCTAGCTCATCTCGCTTCCTCACATCATTTAAGAAATTCACTTTGGGTGTCTAACAGCGTTTGGCAGCCAGGAACCTCTCAGGGAAACGCCCGAGGCTGGAGGCTCGGCATTGGAGGGAGGGGGAGAAATGGAAGTCCGGAGTCCTCGTCCTCACCTCGGTCTCCCCTGCCAGTAAAATCTCCCCTCGTACCACGAGCTGGGAGGTCTTGTTTGTTGGCGTTTCAAACATTTAATGCAGTAAACAGCAAACACCACCCATGCACGTGAAGGCAATACCTGAACGCCATTTTGCAAAGAAGGAAGGGGAAATAGAGGAAGTCAAAGTGTGCTGCCAGGTGGAGCGAGGGCCGCCCACTTGGGGCTGGGGGGCTACCTTCCAGTTTTTGTCTTCACGTTTGCTTTCTCCCTTTTGTTATCCAGTGTGGCCCCTTGCCCCCGGCCTTCCGAGGGAGGTTTCACCGTGCTCTTCGCAGGACCCTCCTGTCGTGTCAGAGGCAGAAGCTGTTCGGAAGGCAGCCCTGGCCGAGCTCGGCCACTCGTGCCGCCAGACGGATTAATAGACTCCCCTAGTTCTATAATCCAGTGCATCTCCATCCCGCCATGGCCGGGAGGTTGGGCTGTAATTACCTGCGTCTAAAAGGACCAATCCAGGTTTCCAGAAGTCCATTTCTCCTGATTTTCAAAATTAAAAAGAAACAAACTTGTTACTTAAACCAAACCATCGGAACCTCTCAAGTGAATTGCCAGGATGATAAGGTTTCCCAGTTGTGGCAGAAAGTTCAATAAAGGAGCACGGGACCGGAATATTAGATGAAGCAACCTGAAATCTCTATGATTTTTCCACCTAAATCTCTTAAAGTCAAAGGCATAAAAGCACCTTTGTTTCTTTCACTGTGCACCGAGAATCATGGAATAATAGGCATCCTAGGATTCAAAAGGACCTAAAAGTTCATCCAGTCCAAAGCCTCCCCTCCCCAACCTCCTTTGCAACATCACTGCCCAGTGGCTGGCTGGCGCTTGAACACCTCCAAAGACAGCAAATTCATTACATATTCAACCAAAGTAGTATATTCCTTCTTGGTCTGTTGAGACTGTGAGAAAATTTTCATTGTATCCATCTGAGATCTTTTGCCCTAAATCTTTCCCCATCCACCCATCCATCCACACTTATTAAACACTCAGTATGTGCTTATATCATCCTAGGTATATTTGTCCCATTTGATTGTTTGAATTCTCTTTCTTGGAATTACCCATGAGGGAGCAGGCAGTTCACTCATTTCCTGAGGTTCAGCTTCTCACTGAGTGCCTCGAGCAGAATAAAGGAAAGTAGCACCTGAATTCTAGATGCAATGAGATGTTTAACACCTTTTACTGCATACTGGTGCTGCTAAAGTGGAAGAGGTAGTAGTGGGGGAGATTCTTGCCCAATAATCCCTGATCTCTTTGGGGGAATCATGGCTGGGAGGGGCTCAAAGGCAACATAACCATGTTAGTAAGCCTCCTAAGGACACAAAAATGGCTGTTTCCTTTTCTCTCCCTCTCTCCCTTCGGCCTCTCTCCCCCATTTCCTCTCCCTCCCCCTTTCTCTCTTAGCCCAGAAGGCTGAGAGTATGATCAGCTGTTTTATTTCTTAAAGGCTATCAGCTTTGCTAATAATTTCAGCAAGGCTGCCGGCTGAAATTACTAACACACTCAAAAAAGGTGATATTTTTCTTTATGTGATTAAGATGCCAGGCAGTTTTGAAAGGCAATCTGTGCTCTTGTGCATTTTGGTCTAATGGTTAAGACCTGAGTTTAATCTAGCTCAGCCATTAACCAGGTGTGTGACCTTGAGCAAGTCACGTATTCTCTGTGAACCTTAATTTCATTGTAAATAACATAAACAGATTGGGTGAGATGCTCTCTACATTTAAAATATTTATGATTTATGTTGAAACATTCTGCTTCTTTAGTCTTATTACTCTATCGCCACCTACTGGTGAAAATACACACTTTGTTCTTTTTCTTAAATATGCTGGTGGCTTCTCTCAATTTTGCCCAAGGCTGTTTTCTTTTCTTTTCTCTTTTCTTTCATTTTTTCTCTTCTCTCCTCTCTTCTCATCTATTCTTTTTTCTTTTCTTCTCTTTTCTTTTCTTTTTTTGCCCAAGCACCCTTGAATGCCATGAAGATTAGAATGCCGGGTGCTCTATTACCTTATCAGGAGAAAAACAGTCCCCAACATCAGGGATCTCCAAGCCTTGGAAGCCTGAAGCCTGACCTTCTATTAATGCCACTTTCATTTTGTTTGGGACAAGTTTGAACCAAATTACATTTATCCAAAAGCTGAGGGCTGAAAAATATTTGGACAGCTGAGACTTGGTGTTTTTTGGACTTGGTAGTAACGAGAAGTAAATTTGTAAGAACATTTGTATTCTGGCGTCAAGGAGAACATTTTAAGAACATTTGTATTCTGGCATTAAGGGTGGTATTGGGGAAAAAAGAAGTCAGAAGGCCCATCCTGGGTCTACCAAAGACCAGCTGGGGGCCTCAGGGGCTCACCTTCCTTCTCTGCAGTTCACCTACAGTTTCTTTCAGTGTTGAGCTGAGGTCATAAGGACTTGCCCTGCCCTGCCTCACACAAAGGGGACTCAGAGGAGCTAAATGTGTATAAAATCATTCTGAAAAGTGTAAGTCACTCTTAAAATAACAGAGGATTATTTTGTGATAATCCTTGCTTGGTCATCTCGCAGATAGGTCTAACAGAAGTATTGGTTCTGAATGATTTCCATGGTAAAAATATAGAATCCATCAACATTTATTGTTTGCCTAGTGACAGGCACTGACTAAGCACTTTATACGTGTTAAGTCACAATAACCCTGTGAGTTAGGCACAACTATGACCCCATTTCACAGGTGAGGAAACTGATGCACAGAGAGTGGCAGAGCAGAACTTTACGCCCAGGCATTCCAGCCGGGGAGCTTGCACGTAGCCACCATCTGTTTATCACATCATCGAGGTAAGTCATAGACATCGTTGTGTCCGCATCTCAGGGCACTTGGTTAGGCCACTGAAGAGGCAGGCCTGGCACAGCCACCTGTAACTCATGCTAATGTGACTGAGTCTTCACAGTGCCCAGCACCATCTCTGCTCCTAAAACGCTGGCGATGGTATTTATGCTGGTCACAGCTCTGTCTGTTCTCCTGCACATCCGGAAGTCATCACCATGGGACCCAAGTGGCAGCTGCGACACATGGCCTTTAGGGCGCTCAAGTTTTGTAAGACAGAGCTCAGGGGGCCATTCAACTCCTTGGCTTCTCCCCAGTGACTCCCCGGGGGTGCAGTTTTTAGGCGGAAGTGGCAGTCTGAAGGGCAGCAGGCCTGTGGGGCCTCCTCGGACAGCTTCCTCTTGCTGCACTGAAGTGAGGAGAGAGCGGGCACAGCAGCTGTGCCGAAGGTGTTGGCATGCTGGCAGCGCATGTGTCACACAAGGACTTTCAGAGAAGGCTGCGGACAGTCTGGGGTCCTGGGCATGAGCCGTCATGCTGTGAAGCATCACAGTCCCAGGTTTATAAGTGGGTTACCCTTTAAGGCTTGGTGTGGGGTATTTGTTTGGAACCTGACCGCCTTTTCTCATGGGAACGACATTAACTCCATGGTTAGAGTTTCCAGGCCAGTGAAGCTTATTTGACTCACACAGAGTTCATGGCACCATGAAGCCAACCAGCACAAGGACGGCTCTGGGGAAAAGTCACCGAGTTCTAACCTGATTCATCAGGAGCTCATCATTCCCTGCTTCCCCTGGGCATAGAGCAGGGGCAGCCTGCCCCGACTCAGAGGCCCTGGGAGGAGGGGCAGGGGTCCGGCTGTGCGGTCCCCCTGTGTGGGAGGCAGTGATGGCTCTCAGGGGAGAGCGTGGGGCCTGTGAGGGCAGAAGCTCTAGCAGCAGAGTCCCAGCATTGAAAATGTTTGATTCCGCTTTATAGTTCTAACATACACCACATCTGACATATAGTATGCTCAATAAATATTTGTTAAAATTAAATAACAGTTCCCTTGCAGTGAGAGTGATGGCTTAAATTAGGGACATACAGAGTTGCATCTGTGGGCAGAAGGCATTACTCATGGGTCATAAGCCTGGTGTCCTTAGGTGGGAAGGGATGAAAAGTTGAGTCGGACATCAGTAGGTCCATATGTAGCTGTTTGTGTCTTTTAATGTGCTGATCTAAACACAAAAGAGGTGTTTAGGGGGATCACAGGAGTCAGTGGTCCTACATGATGTATTTTTATCAGGGACATGAATGGAGACAGGTGGCACAGTTTATCAATTATACAGATGATACAAAGATCAGAAGGAGAGTTAACACATTAAATGACAGAATTAGGAGTCAGAAAAACTGCAACGGACTAAACTAAGGGAAGGTTTAATGGAGATATATGTGATATTCCACCTTGGGATCAAAAACTCAGTTGCACATAGACAGGATTGGGGTGATCTGCTTCTACAGAAGTAAAAGAGATAAAATCTTGGGGACTTTTGTTACTGCAAGCTCAGCAGGAGGTAAGCCAGTGGTGAGACAGGGCATCCCCCAAGTGGAACTTGGGATGTTTTAGTGGAGGCAGAGTATTTAGGACAAGAGAGGCAATTCCCTGGCGCAAAACCCTTGTAGCACTGTCTTCTGCTCGGGGTCCCTGTTCTATGAATCATTAATAGTCTGTTTTAGCTAGAGGGTTTTAGCCATGTCTTGTAAGGACCTATTCTGGGGATTGCAGAAGTTTACCCTGGAAAAGATGAGACATATAGGAAGACATGAAGTCTAACTTCATATATTTGAGCCTCTCAAATTTGAGAGACTCTCAAAGAGTTTCAGCCTCTTAATGCTCTTAAAAATTATTGAAGAAGTTATATCTGTTGATTTTTATCATTTAGAAATTACAACTATGCATTCTCTCCTGTGAAACAGAATATTAACTAGAAATTTATTTACTAGTCATTCATTTAAAAATAATAGAACTATTATATATTAACTCAACCATCATTGTGGAATGAAAACTAACCTCTAAAACAAAGAGTTCAGTAACAAGGGTGACAAATTTCTTCGATGTCTGTCATAATATTATATAAGACATCTGGAATCTGATGTCAGCTGCAGTCAGTCTGTGTGATACATTGTTTTTGTTAAATATATGGAGAAAATCTGTCCTCATGCGGACAGGTGGTCAGAGAAGGGAGAACTTTGAAGAATCCCTCAAACCAGGGTCCTCGGACCACACTTTGAGAACCACTGGTTTAGACAAATTATGAGCAATGTGCTGAAGTTCTGGATAGTTATTAATATGTCAAATGCCCCCGCCTATCAAATGTAGCAGCTGGGACATTCCCTACCACTTGAAATGATCTGGTGTAGGGTAAAAGCCTCTGTCTGGCACACCATAAGGGCTTCACTTTTAGGTGAGAAATAAGACAAGTTGTACTTTATACAATTCTTTCCAATTCATGATCTGATGATTGTATAGCTAAAGCAACTGGGTGACTTGCCTGAGACACATGACTGTATCTGAGGGGAGAACTGGTTCAGGGGTATCTAAGAACCCCAAAGAGTCTTTCCTGCCTTTACTCAGGCTGTGTGAACGACGTCGCCCCCTGCAGGAGCCACGGTGGGGCTTCATAACTCGTGTAGGTGTGAGCACCCGCGGGCTGGAAGAATGGTCCAAGGCAAGGACGCGCTGCAGGTTGGTGGGAGGGTCTGGGGCTCTCAGAGCAAAGTTGCAGGGATGATGGTGAGGAGCAGCAAGCAGAATGGATAGGATTTGAGGGCCAAAAGGAAACTAGGAACACCAGTGTGAGTCACACAGCTCCTGTAATGACTGGGGCATGAAGGAGCATGGAGAAGAACAGAGCCTCTCAGAGCTGTAGAACTGGGGGTCAGTAAGGTTAGAAAAAAGGGACTGAGACCAAATGTATTCAGCAGGTACAACCTTGGAACAAACCTAATGTTGTCAGGTAGTATAAAAACTGGAGCTGAAGAAGGGTAATGTACCTCCTTCCAACCACCGCCCACGCCATGTGTGGTCCGCAGGGCATGTCTGGGCATTTGCACTTCGCCCCAGAGGCCAGTGCAGGGCTGGGCTGGCTGGCTGGGGCTAGGCTGCTTAGCTAGGGAACCTCTCAAGGGCACGTAAAGTCATGAGAGCCCTTGGGCCTCTGAGTCGACAGATTTTCTCTCAGACACACTGAGAACAGACAGATCAAAGAGACATTTTCTTGAGGTGAAAATAATTTGGCACGCCCCCAAACTCTGGGGACCGGGAGCTGAGCTGCGGAGGCCAAGCGCGAGTGTGCGTGGAGGTGTGTGTGTCTGCAGGTGCCGCAGAGCAGATTCCCGGGGAGCGGGGACGGTAGGCAGAGGGCAGCTTACCCAGGCTGACATCCGCTCCGACAGGCTTCTGGAAGGCAGCTCCCGAAGCATCCTGCCTTTGGACACCTGAGGGGATCACACGGGGTCAGCTGATTTCCATACGCCAGCAGACTGCTTCCTGCCCTTGTTTCGTCCCTGTTCAAAGTGACCCCAGCTCAGATTTTCCTTGGAAGTCTGCCGAACTCTCTGTGGTTGACTCTACTTTTGGGGATTGTAAAGTAGGCAGAAATCCTGGCCAAGGGGAAGGCGGAAAGAGTGCCCCGTGGCTTGGCCTCCTGAACAGTCCCATGGGCTTGTTGAGGCCTAAGATGGCTTTGGAGTCCTTGCCCTGCCCACTGTTCTGATTCTTAAGCCCTTTTGTCCAGACCAACAGCACGTTCATTGGCAAAGGCGCAATTGCGAGCTTCCATGGAAGCTGCTTGCCCTGACCGGGGACTCCATGGAGCCCCTGCTCCTATGAGGCATCAGAGCAAAACAACCTACAGTTTCTAAGAACATGTGGAGGGCAGAGGAGTAGCCCCCAGCAGGAGGAGGACCCGAACACTTCCCATCGCAGGTCCTGACTTCTGATCCTAGTGCCCTCGGCTTCAAAGGGACTGGTAAACTTCCACCAAGTCTATCAGCTCACGGACCTGGCCCTGAGCAGAGTTTGTAGGAAACATCGAACCCTGCTCCATTTTCCTCTCCCATCTCTGCAGGCTTCGACAGCGCCAGGGAGAGAATTTGCTGGATTCCCAATTCTTGGGCCAAACTGCTAAGGGGCACACAGAAGTGAAGAACGCCCGGGGAGTCAGAAATCATAGGTGAATTCCTGGAGGCGAGACAATGTATTTCTAGCTCCTGAATTATAGAAGTACTCAAAGCAAGGGAGAAAAAAAAGCCCTTTCCTGGGAGATGATAAAAATTTCCCTCACTCTTTTACCCTAGTTCCCCAAGCATAGACCCCAGAGAATATTCCTTTTCAGGTTTACAAGAGCCTGGTTACTGAATCCTTAGGAATTTCTATCACAACTTCCATAAAAGTCGCCCCAAGGGAAAGTAGGTAAATGCTTTGCTTACTTAACGACTTCCTTGCTTTTTGTATACGTTTCCTTCAAGCTGGACCCTGAGTGGTATCTGTGGGCCTAACTGGTTTAATGCTCTCTGTTCAAATCCAAATCAAATGGCAAGGATTTGGAAAGGTGACCCCCATGTAAACAAGCTTAACTTTCATCAGTAGCTAGAAAGGGAGTTCAAGTTCTCACCTGGATTGGCTCCGGGCCTGTTTTGGCTGCTCGTGTAGGTGGGGGTGGACCATAGACCTGTAAGAACATTCAACTGGTCAGAGCATGAATTTTCATTGAACTTTTCTCATTCTTTCCATGATCCAACCTAGCAAGACATTGCCAAGGTCAGAACCAAGGTAAAGCTTTGTCCTTGCTTGGTCTGAACCTGCCCTGGAGGAAGCATTGAAATGGAAAAATAAAATAGATTTAACTTGAAACACTCACTAAAAAAAAATCCAGGTAATAACAACCCTTGTATTTCACAATTATCAAAGTATCTTTTACTAAAGTGCCATATTTCTTTACACTCAATTATTCTTACAATAATTCTCCTCAACTGTGCCACTCATGGGGAGGTAAAAGTAATCTTTCAATAGAAATGTCACTTAACATTTAACAATCTGCTTAAAGTGCATTAACATCGTGTTGATGCAGATAGCATTAGATTTCAGTCATGTTTAGAGGTACACAATGGGTTATCTTTAATTACTCCGAGAGAAAATCAAATTCACTGCAACATTCATTATGTATTGGGCAATTTCTCTGAAGCAAGGTTTTAAAAGGGAGATGGGGAGAAATGGGGGATGGAGGGAGGCATAAAAACCAGCTGAGGGAAAGAACCAAGTGTCATGGAGGGGAGAGAAAAGATACTAATATCATGGGAAAATATCAATTTCTCTTAGAACTGGATATATCTGTAGCTTTTGACTCTTTTTGTCTTTGTTCCAATTATTTGTCACAAACTCAGAGTATCTTTATTTTCTAATTACACATATAACACAGGATTGCTGTAAAAAAATGATATACTAAGCTTAGCAAGCAATCAGTAACTATCCTCTTTCCAGCAGTTACCGGTAGACGATTTCGGTCTATCGAGTTGTACCCTTTCTCTACACACATGTTGTCATATACAACACACAGGTATGAAAAGGAGATTGGTGCCCTTGATGTTTTGTGACTTGTTTCTTTGAACAACCTGCCACAGGCCAATCTGCTCATGTCAGTGAGTGCACAGATTCATTAGTATTTTAATAGCTGTACAGTAACTTCAACTGTTCTTCTAATGATGGACCATTCACTTATTCATTTTTACTACGAACAACATCTGTGTTCATGCTTCTTTTCACTCTTGGCTGATAGTTACCTTAGGATATATTTTTGTAAGTGTGAATTCTGAGTCATTTATCCATGCTCTTGCCAAAACTGTGTTATCAATTCCCAATGTGAACTGGTGAGAAATGGCATCTTGTTAATTTGCACTTATGTGATTCCTGGTGAAGTTGAACATCTTTTCAAAGAATATTTATTGGCCATAGTTCTTCCACTGTGGCTTGCCTGGTCATGGTCTTTCCCCATTTTTCTTTTGGAATTTTTGTCTTTTTCTTACTATGGAAGAAACTTACTTTGTAAGACTGTCTCAAAAAAAAAACCAAAAAAAAAAAACAGAGTCTCACTGTGTTGCCTGGGCTAGAGTACTGTGGCGTCAGCCTAGCTCACAGCAACCTCAAACTCCTGGGCTCGAGCAATCCTATTGCCTCAGCCTCCCGAGTAGCTGGGACTACAGGCATGCACCACGATGTCTGGCTAGTTTTTTCTATATATTTTTAGTTGTCTGGCTAATTTCTTTCTATTTTTAGTAGAGACAGGGTCTCACTCAGGCTGGTTTTGAAATCCTGACCTTGAGCAATCCTCCCACCTCGGCCTCCGAGAGTGCTAGGATTACAGGTGTGAGCCATTGTGCCTGGCAGTAAGACTGGGTTTTAAGGAAAGCCTTCTCCAGACACCTTCAGGAAGATAAAATTTCATAGGTGAGATAAATGCTGGTGAGAAGGGAAATTGCATGTGGTGGGAATGGGCAGTGATAGATGCTCATGTCTCTTGCTGCCTGCAGGTTTGTGCTTCCTCCCCCTTAGCTGCCTGTGGTCAGGGCTGGGGCTGTGAGCAGACAGAACTGACTCAGTCATCGCCATGCCTTGCCACTGGGTGGCGCTCTTCTTCCCCTCCCAGTTCTACCCTGGTTGTAGCTGCATTTAATCTAGATCAGCTGAGGCCACCATGGCACTTCTTGAAATGAACCTGACTGGGAAGACAAAGGAGAGTATAGTCGCTCCACCTGCAAAGCCTGTGGTGGATTCAGCTGGCCTTAAGGTTATGCCTGGAGGGATTTCCCGTCTTTTCCAGAACACTTTCCTAAGCCTATCTCTAGATCTGCCTCTCCCAGGAGGAACAGCCTCACTTCTGCCCTGTGAGAAGTCTTGGCTCCCTTAGCCCCAGCCTTGAATTGCTCCTTTCTGTCTTGATTTGCACATTCATGGGTCAGTTAAGGGGCCATGATGGGGCGTTGGTGTCCAGCCCCGTGTTCCTTGGAGTCCTTCCACCTGCATCAGCTCTTCTGCATGGGCTAGGGGAGCCCCTGTCTCTTCCCACTACTTAGCTTCTACTCTCCACTGAGCTCTCCCCAAGGTCCTATGTCCTGTCTGAGAGGCGGCTCTTTACCTCACTGTACACCAAAAATGACGCTTAGACCCCGAACACAGGTAGCTCCTGTTCTGGCTACACACTTTTCAGGTGTCTTAAACTGAAGGGACCTGCTGCAGGGACCTTAGTGGGATGTGTCCACTGATGTAGCTCAGATCCTAGAACAGTGCCTGACACATAGTAGGCATTCAATTAATACTTGTTGAATGAATAAATGAATTAGGCTTTACGTGAACACCCTGTCCACAACCACTTCTAGAGTTATTTGCCTAAAGTCACATATGTAAGAGAAAAAATAAAAATACCCTCAATAAATGCAATTAACAGCAACTCACTTGTCTACCAGCAGTATAAGGAGAGTTGCTCTCTGATTTTTAGATCATTTGGAGAAAAAAGAAGTTATATAAATGCTAAATATTAGTTAATATAGTTGGCCTAAAATAGCACAGCAAATATCTATTGCCATACATTAAGATAGTCACTCATGAAAGTAGACTGGTGGTTACTTAGGGCCAGGGAGGTGGGTGTTGGAGGAGATGGTGAGTGACTGTACATGGGCGTGGGGTTTCTTTTGGGGGTGATGAAAATGTGCTAGAAGTGATTGTGGTGATGGCCATACAACTCTATAAATATACCAAAACCTATTGAATCATACACTATAAATAGGCGAATTGTATGGTATGTGAAGAATATCTCAATAAAACCATAATTGAAAAAAGACATAAACATTTAAACATCAAATTTCACGTCTTTTTATGCTTACAGAAAATCTCTTGAGTAGGCGGTACGATTTTTAAAAAGACTTTCCTCTCTCCCCAATTTGGCAATCACGGTGCGTTCTGCCCGGAGCGCTTGCCCCAAGGATTTGTCTAGAAGCCCGTGGGTCAGCAAGGGAGCGGGTGCTGGACAAGGATGAAGAAGGAGCACTGACGGGCCGGGAGGCTGTTGTCCAAAGCCCCTGTCCCCAAGCCAGGAATAATGAAGCTCTGCCAGGCTGGGAACCACGACTTCAAGTTTCCTGAGGTTTCCACCAGCAGAGCCCAACTTGCAACAGGGTTTCCAAGCTCTCAGGGTAGCCAAATAAATATGCCACATGTTTAATTATACGCGTTATGTAAGAAATTGATGTTCTCTAAGGAGACAAACAACTTAGATACTCAAAAGTCTTTGAAAGAATCAAGGAATCTAAAGAAACTGACATTTAAAAAAAACCCAGTTCTGGCTAGGGGACCCCTGTTAGCCCTCTCTGCCCAGCATCCTTGCTCACTAATTATTTCTCTTTTGCTCTCAGGTAGTGTGTGCTTCTGTTAATGTTTGTCTGAGTTAAACAAGAATAAGATGGTAGGGGAGTGTTTGATGCATTTCAGAACCTCAAAAATAATTTTATGGCATTTTTAATTGAGCACTTTATAACACAGCTTTTTCCATGAGTCGTCTATAAAATGGAATAATAATAATCCCTATTTCAGAGAGTGGTTGGGAAGATTAAATAAAATAATGCATCAGTGTACCCGGCACCAGGAAGGTATGGACTTCACGTATTCTGTTATTTATTATTGATCACAGAAGAAGTTGGCTGGGTCGAGCACCCTCTAATCTTGCCACCCAACCGTGCAGAGGTGTGCTCTGTGCAGCCCTGCGAAGTTCATTTGTTGGCAGGAATGCCCCCCTGCAAGGGTCGGAGGACAGCCAGGCTGCTGGAGTTGGAATTCCAGATTTGCTACTTCCCAGCTGTGTGGAGGGGCCAGTTTCCTCACCACCCTACTTCTGGGTACCCTCATTAATACAATGACTTATTCAAATTAGAACTAATAAATCTGCTTCATAGGATTGTTATGAAGGAGTCCCTAGTCTGATATTTGCAAGGTGTTTAGAAAAGTATCTAGCACGTTGAAAGTGCTGATTCACATTTGTTAGAGAAAAAGATGGACAGACAGACAGCTGGGCTCCACCGTGTCAGGGGGCAGGGCCGATGTGTGGCAGCAGTGACAGGAAGCTGGAGGTGAGGCTGAAAAACCAAGTCGGGAGCATTTCCTCCTAGAAGGAAAAAGTGGCACCCGGCGGGAAATATTCAGAAGGAGTCTCGGGGGCGACAGAGGTGCCCCAGCTCCAACCTTCAGAAACGAGACAGGTGCTGGTTAGCTCGGGGTGGCACAGACACACGCCCGAGCCGGAACTCAAACTGGATTACCAGATGAGCTCTTAAGGTTCTGTTTGATGTAGTGCCGAGATGAGTTCCTTAAACCTGATCTTAGGAAAACCTTAAACATGATCTAAGAAATGGATAAAAGTGGTAAGACAAAAGCAATTTGAAAAGGAACAAAAATTTTAGCTTATCTGACTTTTCCTGAAGGGGCTCTTTTGGTTTTGTTTGTTTTTAATATTTGAAGACTTCCAGGTGTATACCATTTGTCACTTAAGAAACAACGATAACCAGAAAAACCCCCAACAGTGTTTACATAGCCACCTACTATCCCTTCAACTGAGCTTTTGGTGAAATGAGGATTTTGCAATGGGAGAGTTTTAGTTAATATCCCACCTTCAAATGTATGGTAACAGCAGGCCAGTTTTTGAATCTATATCCTCCCTTAAATCTGGACAACCACATTCCCTGGCCTAGGTCTCAGGGGTTCCCCATTCACCCAGCTCAAAAGGTGGGAGAGGGCACCACGCATGGGGGTTCAGACGGAGCTGTTACTCCAAAACCCCATCTCCCACTTTCCCAGCACGCGGCAGCACCTGGTCCACCTACTGACCCATCTCCCGGCTCCTGTGGCCCGCGGGCTGTGGTCTGGGGCTGCTGGCGGTAGAAGCTGCGAATGGGGATGGCTTTGGCAAGGTGGTGTGGCTGGCATCTGCTGTGGTGACAGCCACAACTTGCGTCAGAGTGACTGGCTGTGGGGTTGTCCCTGGAACGGAGGGTCTCTCATAAGCTTTGGTGGTCTCACCTGTAAGAAAATGGAATTAGACCCATGCCCACAAAACAGCCTTTTGGCTCCTACAGGACTAGAAATAAAATATATGTTTATTGAACACTAGCTATGAGCAAAGACCTGTGCTAGCCGCTGCGGAGGGTGATATCCCGATGAAGGGCCCACAATTCTTGCCTAAAGGAACATAGTATATAAACTCAGAGCAATAAGCCCATCAACAAACCAAAGATTAAATAACAATAAAATAATTAAATGAAAGTTCAAAACTACAGCAACATAGAATATAGACAAGTCAGAACATGATTAATTGCTGAATTAATGATTCATGGACTTCTTTTTTTTTCTGTTTCAAGTTGCCTTGGCCTTGGAATAGAAGGTACTTTGGGAGCTTTCTATGACTTTTTCTTAGAGAATACATTTTTTTTTTTTTTTTTTTTTGAGACAGAGTCTCACTTTGTTACCCAGGCTAGAGTGAGTGACATGGCGTCAGCCTAGCTCACAGCAACCTCAAACTCCTGGGCTCAAGCGATTCTGCTGCCTCAGTCTCCCGAGTAGCTGGGACTACAGGCATGCACCACCATGCCCGGCTAATTTTTTCTATATATATTAGTTGGCCAATTAATTTCTTTCTGTTTATAGTAGAGACGAGGTCTCACTCTTGCTCAGGCTGGTTTTGAACTCCTGACCTTGAGCAATCCGCCCGCCTCGGCCTCCCAGAGAGCTAGGATTACAGGGGTGAGCCACCGCGCCTGGCCTGAGAATACATTCTTGATGTTCTAGTTTAGGTTGGTTCATGACTAGTCCACTAAATCCTCTGGGCCTCAGTTTCCTCATCTGTAAAATGGGGTGATGGAGCTAACTAGAAGGCAAAGAACATCTAGATTCTACTTCTCAACTGTGCTCTTCAGCCATGTGCGATGATTTAGGTTGCATCCATGGTATTAAATGCCTGTGCAGTTGCCTCACTCTGAAGCACATTTCACTTTGTTATGCTCTAATGCCCTGAGAGCCTTTCTGAAGGCTTAGAGCAAGAGAGTGGCTACTCAGTGGCCTTAGGATCGTCTTGAAAACTCTGGGTCTATGATGGAGGAAGCCACACAGTGGCCCCCAAAGTGAGCAGCTCCTCAGTCCCGGGAGGGAGCAACTATCCCCGGTGCCTGTGCCTGCCGGGCCCATTGGTGGCGTGCCAGCTCCCATACCTGTGCGTCTGCATGAGCTTCCTGGGGCTGCTGTAACAAGCCACCACAAACTTGGTCGCTTAAAACAGCAGAAACATATTCTCTCACTGTTCTAGAGGCCAGAAGTCCAAAATCAGTACCACTGGGCCAAAGTCTAGGTTTCAGCAGTGCTGAGCTCCCTCTAGAGAGGAATCTGTTTCTTGCCTTTTGCAATTTCTGTTGGCTGCTGGCATTCCTTGGCTTGTGGCCGTGCTGCCTCAATCTTTAAGGCCAGCACCCTAAATTCCTCTTCTGTTCCATCTTCCCATGACATTTTCCTCTGTGAGTGTGAAATAGTCTCCCTTTGCCTTCCTTTTATAAACATGCATGTGATTGCACTTAGGGCCCATACAGATAATCCAGAATAATCTTCCCATCTAAAGATCATTACTTTAATCACATTAGCAAAGCACCCCCCACACACACCTGTTGTTTCTGGTTTTGGTTTTTTTTACCATATAAGGAAATACAACTTCCAATAATTAGGACATGAATATCTTTTCAGGGGCATTTTGCAGCCTTGTATAGCATCCCAGCTCTAGCCTTAACTCTGCTTAGGATTCATGCATTTTCTGCACAAGACAGCAGACCAAAGGGATAACATCTGAGATAAGAAGGTGCTTCCCTCTTCATGGGAACCATCCACCTTCCTCTTTGACATTGCACAGCATCCTTGGAAAATCCCATCAGAACCCCAGACCTGGCCCAGCCATGCAGACAAACGCATGGCTGGTGGGTTTGCCCTGCACTGGCACCTGCTCACCTCCCCACCCTGACTCTGTCACCTTCTGCGGGAATCACAGTGTTGACTGGGGAGAGCAGGTCAGCAAACAGTAGCCCTGGAATTGGGCTGGAATTCAGCCATTCCGTCTGCTCTAGCAGGCGTTAGTGGTCAAGGTAGGAAGCAGATCTCTCACTTGCCCTGTTTCTTGCTTTCAGTTGGTTGCCTTTAAATCTGCCCTTGGATGGCGCCAGACAAATCACTGAAGAACTGGCAGCAGCCTCAGGGCTTCAGCCAGTCTTCAAGTCATCCTCAGGCGAAACTGAATCTGCCTGATTTATGACAATTCCATTACTTTAAAGTGATTGAGCTTTCCTAAGGAGTAATAGGGAAGTTTCTAATTTCTCCCAAGCACTCCTCTGTCTTACCCTCCGGTAAATGCTACCAGGCATTAATGCCTCTTTAGGGAGCTGCAAGCCTTAGTTTGATCTACTTTATCTAGGGAAAAGCCATTTAACAGAATCACTTGTATATTTTATGAAATAGAATATAATTAATAATTTGGAGAGAGATATGCAAATAAGCTGACAATACATTTTATTTGTAAATTATTCATTAAACCACAATGTCCTGAAAATAAAACTACTTGCAAATAGTGAACCTTTTTGCCACCTTAAACGTATAAAATGGAGATCTGAAAGATCTTTTTCTCACACCATTGGCTAATTCTGAGGCTCCCGATGACCTCAGCCTGCCTTGCTAATATTGATTTGCTAGACAGAGGTTAAATGTCCCGAGGGCAGCCTCTGTGTCACCTGATTATAACACAGATGCTTTCAAGCCCATCATAAATTCAACCACCATAGCCCTGGGCTTCCATGGGCTATTTAGTTTGCCTGTTTTCCTTCAGAGATGAGAACTGTCTTTAAGAAAGGAGACAGAGAGAAATCACCCCTCCTACCCCGAGTGCTCCCAATTCCTTACTGAACATAATGCTCTTGATTTGATGCAAAGTGAATTCTTCATGGAACCAGGTTCTTTTTGAGCAACTTGGAATAAAACCTGTAAAATAGCTTCTTTATACAATCTCAGATGCATGGAGGTGAGATCTTTTTTCAAAGATTTTCATGGGAAAGGATTTCAAAACTTCTCTTGGGCTGTGAACATAGTCTTCTTTTGGACACGGTCAAGAACTGCTCCAGACAGCCGCCGCCTTCTCCACAGCAGCAGGCGGTGCCTGGGACCTGCCTCCACCAGCTCATCACTGGAATCACGGTGGGGTGTTAAAAATGCAGAGATTCAGATCCACTCTACCTGCGGTGGGCCTTGGAAGTCTGAGTTGAGAACCATAGCCAGGGCCGGGCTGGACTTGTGGCCGCACCTTCATCGGCCTTGCTGCTAAAGCTTTCTGAGCTTTAGCCTGCTTTGCTGTAAAATGGGATGGGCGCTCCTGCTTGGCAGGGCCACTGTCATAATCAGAGATCACGTCTATAAGGGGCCCGCACAGTGCTTGGTGCACAGAAGGCATTTGAGAAATGGTCGTAGCTGACATTTATCCTCACGCTGTACTTCCCCTCTCCTGGCGAAGAACAGTGCTGTCAGTGAGGGAAGAGAAGGCGATGGAAGCCAGGGCAGCAGCAGTGCTCGGAGGTCAGAGTGATGGGGAAGATTTGGTTTTCCCCACCGCGAACCTATTGCGTCCTGACTCAGGGTTATACACGAGGGCAGGAATCTCATATTCTTTGAGCATCTACTATGTGCCAGACACGGCGATGGCCCCTTTCACGTACGCGTTCACATCAAATACTAATCACGATGCAGGAAGTCCACCTAAGTATTCCTATTTTTAAGAGAAGGAACAGATTTTCCAAGAGGTCAAGAAACGTGTTTAAGGTCACACACTCAATAGGTAGCAGAGCCAAGGTTTGGGCCCATGCTTGTTTGATTGCAAATTCATGCTTTTTTTTTCCACAAAAGGAAATAGAGTGGGAGGCAAGTCATGAGCAGCTTCAAGATTCCTGACTGTGGCTCCCATTAGAATGTGGCCCAAGGTCTCTTGCGATCTCACCAAAGCCATTTTATTTTCAAGAGAGGGCGAATGAGTGGCTTTGGTGGGTATAGGCCTGGGAAATTGCAGTTATTACAATAAACTTTGGCTTCACTTTCTTCCAGCATGAGGGACTTAGCTGACAGCCAAGGACAGCAGTAGAGTGTTTTCCTGATGCCCTTGCTCAGCAACCTCCAAGAAGATCTACTTTCCTGTCTCTTGCTGAACGTCTACACACCAACACTTACCTGTGTTTATTTAGCCCAGAGTGGCTCATGGCTCTAACCAAATAACAGCTGCCCAGGGGAAGAGATTTAAATCTCAGGTCGTGTCTGTCCTCAGCGTGGGCTGCACCGGGCAAATCAAGGTGCCTCCTATTTTTCGAGTGAGATAATTTCCCATGAAAGAAGGTGGTTGTGCTGTCGGTGGCTATCCTAGCCTGATTTACCTATTGACTCACATCCTCAGAGAGATGAGGAAGCATCTTATAGGGGCACGCTGAGCCCCGGGCGACAGCTGGCCCTGCATCTTTTCTGCTCCCCCCAGTTTTTAAAGGGATTTTATCATTTAAGGAAGAGTGGCAACACGGGGACACTCCTGTATGGTTCTTACTGGAATTTTTTTTTTTTTTTTTTTTTTGAGACAGAGTCTCGCTTTGTTGTCCAGGCTAGAGTGAGTGCCGTGGCGTCAGCCTAGCTCACAGCAACCTCAAACTCCTGGGCTCGAGTGATCCTTCTGCCTCAGCCTCCCGAGTAGGACTACAGGCATGCGCCACCATGCCCGGCTAATTTTTTATATATATATCAGTTGGCCAATTAATTTCTTTCTATTTATAGTAGAGACAGGGTCTCGCTCTTGCTCAGGCTGGTTTTGAACTCCTGACCTTGAGCAATCCGCCCGCCTCGGCCTCCCAAGAGCTAGGATTACAGGCGTGAGCCACAGTGCCTGGCCTGGAATTTTTTTTATATGAATTCTTGAGAATTTACTCCATGGTGGGATCGTGACTTTAAGAAAGAGGTTCCTCTATCTTGAGGTTGGGTGAGACCCCAAGTATCCCTTTTATGTTCGAATATTTATAGTTTAGCTCAGGGTCTGGCACATGGGAAGTGCTTAATACACAGGCATTAAATGAATGAAGAATGAATGAGTGAACTTAATATTTCAGACTCTCACGACCGTGCATGATCTAGAAATAAGGAGTTGACAGCAATGCTCAGTGACGTTGTCATCAAAAGTTGAGATGGGTTGGGAGAGGGGACAAGTGATACCAGCAACGTCTGGTGTTGTAACTATGGCTCTTGTTGATTCATACATTTCTGTAGCAGCAAATTGCGAGGAAAGTGCCCTGGCCCAGCCCCAGTCCTCATGGAGGTCAATGACTCAGGCATCTGAAACAAGTGCTTGCTGGGGCTTGATGGCATTTGGGGTAGATGGTTCTGGAAATGATCTCTCCTGTATAGAAGGTAGAAACCATATGGATTTTATACTCTAGTCATCATTTGACTATGGTTTCTCTCCCCTTCATTCTTCTCCTCCCACCTTTACCTGCTTTAAGGTGATACAAGCAGAGTTTGAATATTGCATGGGCTGGTTGGAGCTATGCCCATGGGCAAGTTACTAAACCTGTCTAAGGCTCAGCGTCCTCATCTGAAACAGGAGAAGACCCTGGCACTCTGCCCCTGGTGACTGCAGTACAGGTGCCTGGCACAGAGCAAGCGCTCTGTAGGTAGCTATAGTCACAGGAGGTTGTGTGGGACTCTGCCTGTTGTCCTGATTAAGGCCCAAGGCTGAAGCCAGAAGGGCCCAAGCACCCCTTTCTAAATGAGGAGAGGAGCCACTGAACTCCCCACAGGTGAGGCCATTCCAGTCGAACCTGCACAACCACCAGCACCCCCCTCACCTGGGCCAGTGAGCAGAAAGAAAGGGCCAGAAGAAGGGGAGGTGTCAGTAGCCACCTTTCAGGAAGAGCAGCGTCCAGGGTGAGGGGATATTTCCTCCCTTCCTTCATGCTCTGTCCTCTCCCAGGCAGGTGAAGGTGCTTCAAGAGAGTCAGGCATCAAGATCGCGGGGGCCTGTGAGGAGGGCGCCAGGCCATCTCCTAATCTGCCCACAGATCCACCTTACACACTGCAGGAGTGGAGCTTGCAGAGGGTTCTGGGGAAGTATTCTGGGAGTCTAGAAGTGCTCTTCCCCTCAGGGTAAAAAATAGGGTGCTTGATATTTAGTCCCTGAAGTTGGGGGCTCTACTTGAACATGGGGACTGCTTCTGCCTAGGGAATCTCTGAGATAGGAGGGTACAGCTGGTGTGGCCCAGGCCAGCAGGGCTCGGCAGCCACAGGTGAAGTGAATGGAACATGGATGGTGACCTCACTCCATCCAGCTCTACCCAGACCCCAGAGGGGGCCAAAGAGGACCCAGACATTCCCATGGCTCTGTGTGAAGAGGCTGCCTGGGGCCCAAGGGTGAGTTACCTAACCTGGAGAAAGCAGTGGGGTGACAGACTTCTGGCCCAACGAGAGGGAGCCAGGATGAAGCTGAACACTGTCCCCTCGTGCCAGATGTCCACGCACATCACCTGCTCAGAATCATCCCATGAGCAGAGGCTGCAGGGCTAAATGAAACCACAGAGACACCTGCCACTTAAGGAGACCTCTGCCACCCATTCCTCTTCCTTGTGCCCATGCCAGAAAAGGACAGGTGCTATCTCAGAAATGGTCCATGAGGCTCCAGTACCCACTGCCAGTTTGTGGCTGGGCATGGAGAACAGCTGTAGACCACTGGACTCATTAAAGTCATTAGAGGTATAGTTGGGGAAGTAATTGGGGGAAAAGACAGGAAACATTCCTTATTTGTATGGCAAGGCTCCTCAAATCGGGACTCTTTGCATGCACTGTTATTATATTAGCATAAGAAAATCTAAGGTAATGATTTAGAGGGGAGTTTCTGGAGCCAGACTGTCTGGATTTGATTATCAAGTCTGTGACTTTCTAGCTGTTTGACAAAGGATAAGTTACTTAACTTTTCTGTGCTGTATTTGCCTCAAACAATTAGGGCAACAGTGCGTACCGATGGTAGTCTCAGGTGATTACATGCATTGATCAGGTAAAGCTTCTGGAACAATGCCTGGCACACAGCAAATGCTCAATAAATGCTACTTCTATTGCTATTCGTAAACCATGTTCACCTTAAGTACATGAGGAGAACCTGAATGGAGTCAGCTGCTAGCCCATCTGGAAACAATGCAAAATCCCATTATGAAGCAACTCACAGCTTCTCTGTGTGTGGGAAGTCAAAGCACCTCCAAAGACACAGTAATGCATAACACAGTTCTTGATTTAACACAGAAACCTAGAAAACAGATATTTTCTTGGCCTGAGGTCTGCCTGTACCCTCTTTTGTGGTTCACATGGAAGCTGGGTTGGCACAACCCCATAGACAGTGTACTCTTGGCCAGGGTTATTCGGATTAGCAGCTTGCTGTTATCACATAAGCCACATCATTCTCTTTGCTTCCCTGCATTTCATACCTAAGTAGATACAGCCTTTTTCCTTGTAGCTGCCAGGAAACATTTCCAGACAGAATGTCATGTCATCTTCTAAAGTAACAATATAATAAAATTCAAGGCAACAGTCACCCTGAATGAAAATGACACAAATATAGAGACAATCCTGGAATTGGAAAACAAAAAAATAAAGCCTTCACTCTTCCGCCCCAGCCCTCTGATCCCACTGATTTCTGTGCCCATGTTCCTGGCATCTGTTAAAATATTACCAAATCAGTGGAGCTTGACCAGTGAAGATGTTAATTTCTACACTATCTCCTAAAACACAATATTGCCTGTTTACCAACTCAGAAGGTTTAGATTAAATCACACGTGAACACTTGCCTGCTTTGGCAGCTGGGCTTTTAGATGATGAATATGTAAGAGCCGATGGGTAGGTTACACCCTTTTGGGGTTTGCTTTCTGCAAAAAAAGAAAAAGAAAGATTTATTTCTAGAGCTAAAGGTTTTAGATGGTTCTGTGCTGATAAGTTGATTCCTTCCTTCCAATTTACTTCCCTTGAGTTCAATAAAATCAGTCTCCCTGATGCTGAATTGTCGATTACAATGAGAAAGTCAAGTGGCATTTTGTTTTCCTGTATAGCCTGTGTTTTATTTATATTGGACTGGAAACAAGCAAATCTCCATGCCTCAGAGTGGTTTAACATTAGCAACCCTGCTTTCGCTCGTGAAGATGTGGTATGGAAGCTAAGGTTTTCATACACGTGGCTTGGAATGTTTAATTGCATCAGTGGATGAATGTGAAAACATTTCACGTGCTCTCCTTTTAGATGACGGAGTGCTCTGGTCTTAGGCTGGTTACCTCTCACTTTCACAGACCCTGAGGGAGGGATCCATTTGAATCTCATGGTAGTTGAGAAACCTGAAAATAGGTAAATAGAGAGCAGCCTTGAAAATAACCATTTGTTACTCATCCAGAGACAGATACTTTAGATGCCAGGCATGGGGGGGGGGAGGTGTATGGTCATGCCTATCAAGGAAACAGTGGAGGCATAAAATAGAAGAGCCACCAGGCGATCTGCTTAGCAGGCATCAAGCCTGTATGACTGGAGAAAGCTGCTGCCTGCAGAAATCTTTCTTCCGACCATGAAATTCCACCGTAGGAGTTTTGTTCCACAAACTGAAAGTGCCGCTGGAATGTCCCAAGCCCCCTGAAGGCAAGTAATTTGTTTGCCTTAGTAACTGTTGAATTTCCAGTGCCCGAAGCGGTTATTTTCTGGCATGTACTAAAGTGTTCAGGAAATATGTATTTAGAGAAGGAATATCTTAATGCCTTTATCTCTGTTAAAATTCAAATACTCTTGGGAGTGGTATCACCTATCAGCTGTTGTTTTCCTCTAATAATAAAAGCATTCTGGCTGTCAACCTGAGGGAATACTTTCACAGGCTGGGGGCCTGGAGGAGGTGGTGGGCGGTATTGTGTGGGGCCCGGGGGTGTGGACACGGCTCTAGTGCATCCTCTCACCAACATCCTATCGGCACGAGGGACTGTAGGGGCACGAAGCAGACAGAATAATAGGGGCTCAGGAAGCACCAGAGATTGGGAGTAAGAAAATCTGGGTTTCTGTTTGCATTTTACCTTTAATTAACTGCCTCAATCTTTGAGGCTCTCATTTTCTTCATTAAGAAAATACGAGTAATGATAGGGCCCTACTGACTACACGAAGTTGGAGGGAATTAATGGAAAAAAAATTAAAATGTTTTGGAACTATATATCTCCATAGAGATGCAAAATTTTTATTCTGGTATTACCTATAAATGCCACTCAAAGCATAGATGAGGCAAACTATTTGGGCTGATTCATGTTACTTCACCTCGTTAAAGTCACCTAGGGAACAGAACTTGACATTCTGTCAAGGCCCACGTCCAGGCCTGCTCTGAGTAGACAATGATGGAGGTTATTTTAGACTCCGGGAGGGCCCCGTATTTGTGGGCCACAGTATATCCGCAGAAAGCAATGCAGAGACATCCTCTGCCTCCATTTACTATTCTTCTCACATCCAAAACCCTACGGTTATTCCCGTTTCTATTCAGCAGGAAAAGGAGCATGAGCTCAGTTTTCTGAAACGTGGATCAAAGAATAAAGGGGCAGTGTTAGAGGGTCCCTCATGGACCTTTTGTCTCCCTGGACTATCCAAAGACCAAAAATGCACATCCCTTCTCCTGCCCCCTTCTCAGCCTGCCAAAGTGAATTAATTAAAGGAGCACAGCGACTTGTGAAAATTGGAAATAAAAACCCAGAGAAAGGTCACAGAGGTGTCTGAGCCTTTGGAAGAGGGTTCTGACATGGTCCAGTTAAACTCGCTGGCTCTGAACCTCTGAATGACGGGGAGGGTTCCTTGGCTGCCAGTCAGTGAATGTCCTTGTGCCCAGCACGCTCTCCTAACTCACCCCTTCGGGAGAGGCTTCTTAGCCATTGCAGAAGCGCCAATGTTTATTATCACTGGCAAAAAGTATTTTCAGTTAAATGTCACTATGTGCAATGAGGGGAGATGGAAGCTGAGATTTACAGGAAATAATCTCAGCAGATTGATTTTCATTTAAAAAACCCAAAACATCTCTACTGTCATGAAAGTAATTCTCCTTTTAAACCTCTGTTGAGATTCTTGGAGTACAGGCTGAACCCTTAAGGTTGAAATGCCCTTATTTAGGCAGGACTACTTGGTGAACATCTAGGTGGGGATTATATTTCTCTATCTGAACATGTTTGTATTTTCATATGGACCTGTTTTGAATTCTTTATTGTGAGGCAAAGACCCACAGTACAGTGGTTTATGCCCTTTCACAATCTGACAAAGAAACTAGTCTAATTTGAACCCTAGGTGTGCAGAATTCGGCAGGTAGAGGAAATGGAGACTGATGGAGTTGAGAAGAATACTAAAAGGTCTGTTTGTAGTCTTGCTACAACACCATCGCTAGAGAATAGTAGGGGCTTGAGGCATGGAGTGCCTAGTGGTGCTAGAAAACCACCGAGATTGGAAGACCGACTACGTTATGAGATATTTCTCTCTTCACTGTGTCAGTTGGCTTTCTATAGTTGGCTCTTTGTCAGGACAGTCCCAAGGCACCTAATCTTGTTGGGAGGCTGGGAAGCTTAACTTGAATCTAGTTTAAAATCCCATGGAACCTCCTTAGAGAAAATGGGAGATTCAGGTCCCATCCTGAGTAGGGTAAGTATCAGGTGAGCCTAGAACATTGTGTTGTGTTTAAACACTAATGTGGACATGTCAAAAGCTTGAAAAACTCCCACTGGCCAATCTTAGAAAAATTGAGCCACCAAAAAGGGTAATGATGATAATGGATTATAACATATCGTATTTTTAAAAACAATCCATGAGTACATAGTGCACTTAAAAAAATAGGTACGGGGGGGGGGGTGGAGGAAGAAAACACTTCTTTATATAAGAATACTAGCTAGTAAATGTGGAAGAAATGACAATTGGAAAGATTTTAATTTTGCAATTACCAATGTAATACTTGCAACAGTGAGGGTCAGCAATGGGTGTTAAAATTATTGGGTGAAATTTGTTGGGGGAATAAACTACTTAAGCTGTTTCAAAGTATCACTCTACAGATTGCTTATGAATTACAAGGTATCTTTGCCATGGAGAGAGATGGTAAACTAAGCAATCAAACTTAGCATCACCAGCAACTGGACAAATTGACATTATATATATATGCCTCTTGATAGGATTATTGTAATATGACACAATGAATATGCTATGATAGTATGTGTTCTTGTCAAAAATATATCAGCTGAATCCAATTATGAGGAAAGAGACAAGCTTCTGGTCCAGATTGTGGAATATAGTACTAGACACCAGGCCTGGACTTCAAAGATGTCAATGCCATTCATGACCAAAAAAGATACTGTGGTATGGATATTTCTAGATTAAAGGAGATTAAATAGACATGACAACTAAATGCAATGCATGATCTTTGATTAGATTGTAGATAAAAAAAAAGTTATTATAAAGAATATTTTAGGGGTAATTGGATACAATTAAATAACTTTATTATATGATATTATTATATCAGTGTTAACTTTTTAGGTATGGTATTGGTATTGTTATTTAGGGAAATATTCTTACAAGATGTGTACTGAAGTATTTAGGGATAAAGCAGCTTATTTTCACATAGTTTAGAACAAAGTATAGATAAATAATAGATAATAAATTAAAGCAAATGTGGCAAAATATTAACAGTTGGTGAATCTAGGTGAAGATAATATGGGTGTTCATTGTACTAGTATTTTAATTTTTCTGTAAATTTAAAAAACTTTAAAATAAAGTGGGTTGAGGAAATTCACAAAAATAGAAAAAAATGTGAGAGTAGGTCATGATAGTACAAAGATACTTGATTATCTTTTCATTGTGAAATCACAATAATTAGTTCATTGACATCACCTCTTTAAAAAGTGGGGGAATAGTAAAAATGATTATCTACAAAAAATCCTATGGCTCTAGATAGAGCGAACTGATTGAATTGTGAAACAATTCATTAAATAACAATTTAGAAATCTGCAATAAAATTGTAGCTCACTTCTCTCTCTGAGAGCATATACCCTTATCTATTCATTTGCCAGAAATCTCAAGAAATGAGGTTCTAGATATGAGGTCTATTTGGCCTACCTAAAGGACTAGCTCAAAAACCCAAGTTAGTAAATACAATTCACGTAATTAAAAATGTGATGGGACTTATGGATAGCTGCAGTGTATTTCAAATGAGCCATTAGAGCCTTTTAAATGATTCCTGACTCCGTAGTGATCTATCGTGTAATTATAATTTATTGTTTCATGATCCTAATTATCAAAACTAATGCTTCCGATTTTTATGAAGTGAGGTGGGCCATAAACAAAAGCTGACAGCACACTCAAGAGAGCACATGTCGTCCTGTGGGGTCAGCCTGAGGGCCTTGATTGGCAGCGTTTCTCCCGCTTGTGGTTGTACCTGAGACGATGAAGGATTCTCTCCACCTTGGCAAGGATAGCGACTGGACACCATTGGAGTAGCTCCCTTTATAGCCGGACTGTCCAGCCACTTTCCGAACAAGTATTTTCCCTCCTGAATTATCGAGCACGCCACTATGAAGAGAGAAAAAAAATTGAAGAACAGAAATATTGTTTGACGTGATCAACAGACTATCAAAACAGTCTCCATCTTTATTTAGACCTATGAAAGCAGCGAGATTAAGAAAAGTTTACCTTGACCTGGGGCCCAACCTCCCCAAACAGTGCCTCTGTCACTGGGCCCTACATCCCAACTGCCAGGTCTTACAGGACCCGGTTGTTCCGTCAGTCAGGAATTTCCCTTTGCCACCATGCCTCAGATTTCTTTTCCTTGGTTTTCTCATTCCCACTAGTTCTTTTAAGTGAAACTACTGTCTTGACAATTTCCAATTTGGTTTTGTGACACCACAGAATAAATCCAGTTATTTCAAAGGGTGGTATGAAATTATTAAAAGTAAATATTCCTTTTATTTTGGGTCAGGGAGGGAAGATGTGCAGCTGAATTAAATGCATTAAAAGGAGTCCTTAAAACACTGAAAATCATTTCTTAAATTTCTAGGATTCTGCGAGTTTTAGATTCTGACTGCATGGTGACTGGCATGTGTACGTCTTTCCTTGTATGTTAGGCAGAGGCTCCGTCTGGTTCCTGAACAGCAGCACTTTCTTGTAATTTCTTGCTCCTTTGGGTATCTATAATTTATGGTATGGGGGATTAAAAAGAAAGAAAAAGATGTCGACATTTTCCCATCAACACCCCTCCTTCCCTGCAGGAACGAGAGCGTTGCATTTCCTGCCCTCCCACCTTCACGGTGAGTCAGCAACTTTCAACACTCAACTTCCCAATGGCCCAGAAGGAAAGAAAGTGGGAGTAATATTCGACATGTAAAGCACTTTGCTTTAAAAATCATTCTCACATACGGTATCTCCCTGGGTCCTCCCAGCAGCCCTCTGAGCTGTGGTGTGGACGGAATGCGGTTATTCCCGGTCATTCCGTCACACAGGCTGGGAGAGGTTGAGTGACTCACTCGAGAGTTAGTACCAGTGAATTGCAAGAGGGATTTGAACCCAGGTCTAACTGACCTACCTCATCCTGGGGTTGTTCCTCTTGCTTGCAGCTACCTCTCAGGGTTCAAAAGCATGGTGGTGCCAACTCACCTCCTCACCTCTAGTCTCCACTGCCCTGTCTTCTCTGGGGGCTCTTCACGACTAAGTTACCTCAACCTCACTGCTCCCAACAGCAGCACGCTGGCCTCAGCTCCCCTGACACCCCCGCCCCCGCCACCCCCGCCCCATGGCTCTGGTCACGCTGCTGTTTCCCTCCGGGAGACCTCCTTCCCGCCTCGGCCAGACTAGGCCTGCGCCACTGTCAAGGGGCCGCCCAGTTTCCAGCATCTTCCCCACAGAGATTCTGACAGGACTTCACTCCACACACCCCATCCCTTAGAACCTTGTTCTCACAACTTAGACTCTGATTTTGTTCTGTCTTGTACTAGTTCCTAAACATTTCTGGAGTTAATTTTGTCTTCCAACTTAAATGGAAAACTTTCTTATGGAAAGGACAGCGTGTCCTGTTTCCTTGTAAGAAGGTCTGTCAGTGGTATGTAGGTTCTAATCGTACAGGCTTGTGAGAGCTGGTTGTTAAGCTTTTGGGATTGTGTGAGCTGGTTGACTTGACATTGGTAGCTTGGCAGCAACCATGTTGGTGTATTTACACCATGGAAATTGGCAAATCAGACCCATCCCCACCCCTGCTATTGGAGAGCTGGTTGTTAAACACCAGCACACCACTGGCTCATGAAAATGCTAATTATTTTTTTAAAAAAATTGTCCCTGTGGGGAAAATGGAAATAACCCTCAGCCTTTTCTTGTCCTCTGGAGACATTATTGGGTCTTTGGATTTACCGGGAACTGTTTTGGGGGAGCTGTGTGCAGATGCACATGCTCCTGTTTAAGAGTCTGAAGCACTGTAGCTGCCAATCAGGGAGGGAAGCCCCTCTCCAATCCCCCACTGCCCCTCACCCCCGGGCTGAGCTCCCTTCAGCCTATTTGCAGGGTACAGGGAGAAGATTCTTAAGCCAGACTGTGCTGCTGCCAACCCTTTGAGGGTTGTCTAAGACTGAAAACCCCGATTTGGGGAAAGGGGAACTATTGTGTTCTCATGAGATTCTCCTGTTGGGGCAGAGAGTGGAGCCTTGTCTCATGGGGGGCCTAACTGGTGGACGTGGACATTTCCAGGGCAGATCCTAGGAAGGTCAGTGGCCCGTGAACTTTGGGAGGCCCCAGCAGCGCAAGGAAGCAGAATGCTTATGTAAAGGTGACCTCGTGTGTATCACTCAGATGTAGACACTTCATATATATTTTCTGCAAGAGCAAAACCGGTTCCACTTCTTTGCATTTCTCTACGTGGTGCAGAGCATGGCCTTGATGTCTTCCTCCCTGACCCTGGTGCCAGGCGACAGGACAAGCTGAGGGCCAGCTCCTTGGCTCAGAGAGAAGGGACAGCTCAGGTTTGGACTGGCTGCTGTCCAGAGGGGGGCATCTGGTCAGAGATGCGAGTGAAGAGTACTCCGCGCCGGACGGTCTTCTCATTGCTGTGTCTCAGACAAGTCTCTCCCCAACCCGGCACTTGGCCCCCTTTAAATACAGGCGTTGATTTGCGATAAGGCAGAGACAAGATATGATGCCTCCAATATGTTCATTATCCCTTTGGTTTGAAAGAATCAAGGGAATTACTTGTAATAAGACCTCTGAGCATAATACAATATGTGAATATTAAATCCTTTAATCCACATTAATCTGAATTTCTAAACCAAAGCATACTCTCTGCAGTGTCTCAGTTCTTACCGTGGGGACTCTAGCAGGACATTGGCTGTAGGCCCCCAGTGAACTTTTTGCTTTGGTTCTCTATGTCTTAAATCCTGCCTTCTGAAAACAGGCTGGCTCTGTTTGTGAAAAACAAAGCTGATAGCGTCCAAAATTCCTATCTGCGTTCCCTTAAGACTTCTATTCATCTTCTCCATGAATACTGACACCTCTTTCCAAATAGTTTTTCCACTCTATCCGTCACTGGTTCAGGAAGCAATAATGACACTCAGTTGCTCAAGCAGCACATCTTGTTGTTTTTAAAACATCCAAGCTCTTCTCTGTCCCTCTACCCTCATCTATATTTTTTCCACCAAATTCTTACATCCTAACCCAGACACTGGGATTGCAGAGCCCTGGTTCTTGTTTTCTCCCCAGGAGCATGTCCTTCCACCATAAAGCCTTTGCCAACTATGAGTCCTCGCTTGCTATACTAAGCAGTGCTGGGACTTGCTGCTGCTTATGTAAATATGTCAGCTGGGCTCAGGGCTGGAAGTCTGGGGACATGAGTTTTCATCCTCAATGTGCATCTAACTAGCAATTTAATTAACTGAATTAATGAAGAGAGGCCTCAGTTCCTCTTCTAGCAAATGGGGATGCTATGAGCAGCCTCATAGGGTTCAGCCTCATAGAGATGATGCTAGAGGGAGAAAATCACAGTGTAAGGGACCACTTGTCATATTGATGACATCTGTGGTGAGGTCAGATTTACTCTTGTGGCTCTATTCTGCCTAGGAAACATGGAAGGGCGAGAGAGAGCCAGCGAATGCCAGAGGAAATAAGTGCCAATCATCTAGGATCACAACTGGAAAAATGCAGGCAACTTTAAGACAGGCTCAGCCTCTATAGCAGATGTCATTGTCTACACAGACGCTGCAGTGTCTACGCAGACACAGACTGGAGAGTGCTGAAAGCATTGGTGGGCATGCACATGTGTGTGAGCATGCATGTGTGTGTAAGTAGGTGTGGGAGGAGGAGCGTGTGTGCAGGAGCATGCATGTGTGCACGTGTGCCTGTGTAGATTTTTGTATACCTCTTTCCTTTTTGCATGAAAATATTTTTCATCCATGCTATGGCTTTAAGAAACAGCATTTGGTGTTGTTTTTCTTTAATGTTCCACTTCTTGTTTTTAATAGAGCTTGCATACTCCCAGTCCCATTGAAAAACCATTTAGCTCATCACCCCTCTGTAGTAGTGGGGAAAAGAGTAGCATGGCCAGTGAAATCTATTAGTAATTCTTAAACCTTATTTTATGCATAGTTTTATTTTATTTTTTTTTACTGTTTTCCTCAAATTTCAGAGAGTCTACGGACTAGACCTCTTGAAAAGAAATTAATTTTGTGTCTCAGGCAGAGATACAGCTGAAGAATCAACTAACTTATGTGCAAATGAAGAAAAGGAAAAAGATACCAGACTCCCAAATAATTCAGAAACTTCATCTAGCATCCAGTAGACAAGTATTGACTTGGGAGCCATGTCTCAAAGCTGTGCTGGGTAGCAGCTAGCAATGCAGGCACTGCAGTCAGCTGGACCTGGGTTCCAGTCCCCTCTGATGCTTTTTAATTATGTGGCTTTAGGAAAGCTCTTCAACCTATCTTCATCTTTAAGATGTGCTTGATAGGAGTAGATACTGCATAGAGGAATTGTCAGGATTAAATAAGGTAATGCAGAGAAAATGCTTGGCACATACACGTTAGCCTTATTGCAAAGATATTAAGTCAACATACATTTGTATTTTGACTCCAAACTTAAGACACATACATTGTGTTTTGGCTCCAAACTTAAGCAAAAGAGGCATGAGGATTCTGTGAAGGTCAATTTTGCCTCTCCTTACTTAGGCAGTGCCTTGGTCCAACACATACCACACCTCCTGCCTCCTTCCTGGATCCCAGACCAACAGCTGACCAAGTGGTAGCACCTGCCCCCTTTCTTCTCACTTCTCCCATTCCCTTTCCCCAGCCATCACCACTGCTGTGAAATTTCTTCCTCCAAATTTCTGGGCCTGCCTTCATCACATTCCTATCATTTCTTGCCCAGCACATACAGGTAGAAAAAAAAAATGCTTGATATGGTCAAGAACATTGGTCTCCCTGTGATGATTGTGAGGGAGTAGAAGTCTCCTTCTCTCCCCATCAGGGTGTAAAGGGTTGGAGTCAGTGTCCTTTCTACGGAGAGCTAAGAAAGGAGGTGCAGCACCAGCCACTGCTTCTGGGTCTTCCTTCTAGGGTGAGGTTGCCAGATAAAATGCAGGCTGCTCATTTAAATTTGTACATTTGTGTTTACTAAATACTGCACCCCTGCATGGGGTGCTCCCTGTCAACACCCTGATCACTGGCGATGAAGTAGCTCAGAGCGACTCACCTGTGCACGGCGGCGCCGCACACGCTGGAGTAGGACGCGTAGACGTCAGTGCCGTACACGTGGTATTTGGGGTCTTGGCATCCTGCCGGGCATTTCACAATGAACTCAGGATTGATTATCTTCCCAGCTTTGACATCGCAGTTGATCTGAGGCACATCTGGGAATACAAAATGAGGTCAAAGTTACACCTTGTGGTACCAGCTTGTCTATGGGATGGGGGGCTCTGTTAGGTTGTAATTGTTTATTTACTTAATCTCTAAAAGCCAGAGCCTGGGCTGACCGAGCCTCGCCTCCATTTAATGAAAGAAAAGATGTAATTAGGACGTTCCCCAGACCAAAAGAACAACACTGATCATCCATTGCACTTAACCTGCTGAGAGCAAAAACAAAAGGCTGTGCTGATTCGGACAATTAACTGATGGAAGGGGAGAACTCTGGGAAGAGACCCACCTCCAGTGGCCAGAAATGTAATCTTGAGTCAATGGCAGGTGAGTACTGGTTTTTTAGGTGCTCTGTAGCTAGTCTAAGAGAAAATCCCAGACGACTTTACAGGAGGAAGGAAAGCTGTTCCAGGAAGGGCAAGCAAGGGTTCCCACCCAGAGTCAGCCCCGAAGAGCCAGCCTGGGCGAGGCTCCGCGCTGGAGCCTGGTGGGGCGATGGTGGCGTGGTAGGGCCGGGCAGGTTAAGGACACTTGAGTGCTTGTATTCTGTGCAGGGTCTGGGATGCAATGGAAAGTTTTTGGACAGGGGAGATACATAATAAAAGTGGTTTTTTGTCTTCGTCCTAGGGGATCCTCTAGGCCTAGATCTGGGGTCACGATGGGAATGATCTTTTCTCCTCTGCACCAACACTTGCTGGAAAGCTGGGAGTTCCCCTGCTGAGGTTCCAGGGGAAGCCCGTTCACTCTTTCCTCCCTCCTTTGTGGATTCATTACTGCTCCTGCCAGGATGGCAGTATCCAGTAGGCAAGTTCTGGAGCTGAAAGCTTATCTGGGGATCAAGTGGGGTAGATGCTCAAGTGACAGTATCTACTATAAAAGGGGGTAGAGCTGCATCTTCCTTGCAAAGATTTTTCCTCCAAAACTCCCGAAGGAAAAGGCCCTCTGGAGGACACTATACTGGTGCCCCTCCAGCTGGGAATGTATTCAGTTCCTGCCCCGTTATTCAGAGGGGACTCTCAAACACAAGCACAGTCCAAAGACTCAGGAGGAGCCGGTAAATTGCCAAATGAAAAGGACGGTTTGCAGGAAGGGGGGTCCTTTGCCCATGAGAAGGCAAGAATTTGGAGGCACCTAGTGTTGTCTTCACAAGTAGGACTGTTGTGTGCTATGACATGAGAGGGCCGAGATAAAACGGAAAGGGTAGACTTTCTATAGGGGAAAATTTTGCCGAGAAGAACTTTCTAGGAATTGAAGTTGCCTGGAAGGAATGGGCTGCCTCAGCAAGCAGTGAGTGGGCTCTTGGTGGAAGCGTGCAAGCAGAGACTGAGCAGTTGAAGAGGGGATTTCGACATGGGGTGAGAGGTAGAAACAAAACCCCTCCCAGTGCTAAGAGTCTGTGATTACACACACAGATCCAGGAGCTCTGCCAGGCCACCCACCCTCTAACTGGGTTACTGAGATGGTCTCAGAGCTGCTAATGGCTTCCAGCTGTATCCAAAAAGCATATTCTTCTTCTTCTTCTTTTTTAACCCTTATGTACCTGAATGAGCAGAGTTGCATTTCTTTCAGGCTGGAGGGAGAGCTGAAGTTAGAATTCCTGCTCTTTTCTTAAACACCCCTCCCAGACAACCTTTGCCACTCAGGGCTGGGCCAGCATGGAGCTTCTCCTGGGAACCACAAGGCTGAGTTTGATCACAGGCTTAAGCAATTTGTGGTTTGCATTAAGAAGTAGAGCACTGTGCTTAAAACAGTTTTGTGGTTTCATCCTCCCCACCAGAGGTTGCCTCCGCACCAGCTATTTCTTTTTACCTTTCATTCTTTTAAACTCTGCTATTCAAGGCTGCATTTACTATTTTGAGTCTCAGAATATTTTGTTTTTAAAGGAAAATCTTGGGCTGAAGATGCCAGTGTAGTTTCTCCTTAAATTAGTTAATTGTTTGGTCCCTGGGTGTAACTGAATGTGTTCAACTCCCCTCCCTTTGGCAGATCACACCCTCTCCCAAATGCATCTCCTCCCTTAGATGTAAAGAAAATGAAAGATTTCTTTTTGGTGCTTAGTTCTTCAAAACAGGAGGTGACAAGCTCTGTGAACTGGGATTAAATATTGACGTGACTTTGGCACTCTGAGATTTTGTATCTTTTGTCAGGCCAACTAAATCTTTTGGGTAAGGAGTAATCTTTGAGTAAGGAGGCTCTATCTGGAAGCTTATTGCATGAGTATTATATGATGACCAAGACTTTAGGGTGCATGCAGTAGGATTTTCCATGAAATAGTTGGTTTATAAGACCAGGGAAAATTTCACGTGGGACTATTTTACTTCCTGCTAATCAATCCCCACTCCCCACTCCATTTTTAAAGGGCATTTGTTTTTTGTTTATTCGTTTACTTTGTCTTTTTTTTTTTTTTAAAACAAAACCCAGAGAAGTAACTTAAATAAGATCTCCTTTATCTGTACCCAATTTTATCTGCAAAATTGGTAAATGAACTCATTAATTTTTCCCACTGGGGGGAAAAATTAAAATCAAGCACAAATGCTCATTCACTTTGGAAGAACAAGGAGCAATGGCGAAGTGTGGCTAAAGGTCAAATACTTGTTTAATTTGTATAGAAAATTAAGCTGGATAGAGTGGACTAATTAAATTTTGCAGGGTAAGTGTGAAAATTATTAAAAAGTATAATGTCTACATCCAGCCAGGGAAAAACAATCATTTGCATCTTTCTGGCAGCTCTTCTTTAAGTATATGGAAACCATAGTTAATTTCTTTACAGTATTCTCCTAGTTATTTGTGAGGTAGTCTGCGTGTTTGCAATGTCAAAGAATCTTTTTCCTCTCCACTTAAGGCCCAAATGAAATGATTTATCTTTGTATTTCTTCTGACTCTTTTTGAACTATTCAATGCTTACAGCTTAGGTTTTCCTTTTTTCTCTTTTGTTGTTAAGGTTCATTTTCATATCTCCTTTCCCCCTTCTCTGAGTTTTACCCTAAAAGTGCAGAAATCAGACTTCCCTAAGAGGACAAGTCGCAATTGAGGCAGCTCAAGAAGTATCATTGAAAAAAAAAAAAAGTATCGTTGTGAGATCTGAACGGAGCAGGAGACACTTGACACACGTCAGGACAGACAGTCAGAGGGGAGTGCTGTCTCCCCACTGTTAACCTCAGGTGAGAACTTTTTTATAGGTTCTAGAAAGGTTTATTCCCAGGAACGTTTGGAGAAGGCAAGACACAGACCTCTTCCATTTCTTCCTGAGTTGACAGTTGCTGGTGGCAGTCAGGGAAACCTCAGGCCCAAGTCACAGAGATCCGGGGGGAGCCTGGACCTGCTTCAGTGGAACCTTTGCGCAGAAACCTGTCGCTTGGCTATCTGCTCTGCCTCTCCCCTTCTGCCCTCGCCTGCTCCCTGGTGTGACTCCATCAGGTTACCTTGCCTTCTCATAGTCACTGTCACCTTCATGTTGGAGCTCACGTGAGAGCACCTCAGTGTCTGCCAAGGATTCCTTCCCAGAGGCCCTGGGAACCGGCCACAGGGAAAAGAGAAGAACCACTTGCAAACCATATGCAACTGTAGGATTACCTCGCTGAGGCACATGTGTCAGCTGTATTAACCTCACAGGGTTCCCGGGCAATAAGTTTCATTTCAGAACAGAAAACTGGTACTGTCTGATTGCTATTTAAGCGCAAAATTGGAATCTTAAGAGGAAGAATTGCAAATGTTTTTGCAGTGGGTTGCGTCTCCTGCCTGGGCTAATGACAGTGATTATTGGGTACAATAAGCCAGGTATATAGCAGGCCAAATCAAACTGTATGTTCCTTACTTCACCACTCAGCTTTTCACTGATCCCAGGCGTACCATGTTGATTCTGGAAAACAAATTTTCTTATCAGCTAGAGAAGGTCATTTTAAGCTTGCCTTGTAGCTATTAATGAGGAAGAATTTTTAATTTTTTAAAATTTTTTTAATGAGGAAGAATTATGAAAGCATGAAAGAACGTATGTGTGAAAAGTTTTGATATTAAACTACATTTTGTTGGACTGTGATATTCAATTAGAGTAAAATCCTATTTTTAAGATAATTATGCAAAAAAGTTAGTTTAATGAAATGAAAATGACCATTAATTTGAAGATAAATGCATCCTTCCTCTTGATCCTGATAGGCAGGTCACGTTCATTCTTCCTTTGTAAAGAAACGCTTTTGCAAAGCATTCTTTTTCGTTTTTCTTAAGCAGTCTTTGATCATGTTGAGTCTTTGCTCAAAAACCACCAATAGCTTTTTGCTGCCTTTAGTAAAAGTTCCAAAACCCTTAAGGCCTTTACATGGGCCCTTCCATGGAACATCTGGTGTTGTCAGTACTGTCTCTGGCACTTGCTAAATGCATGTTGTCTTGCAAACTTAGTGTGAATCATTTCTTGCACCTGGAACCCTTTTTTCCTTTCCTCTGTTTAAATGCTACTACTTTTAAGATCCCAGTTCCAGTTATATCTTCATTAACCTACTAGAATATAAACCCCATGAGGGCAGGGATTTCCATCTACTTTGTTCACTGCTATTCATTAGAATGTTTGCTAAATGAATGAATGAATCAAGCTGATCCATTAGGAACTTCTATTCATTTTATTTCTAAATCTGCTATTTCTCTCGACCTCTACCTTGGTCTGTCTCTGACATTTCCTGTCTGGACTGTTAACACAGTAACCTCCTGTGTTGCCTTCTTCCTCTGTGCTTGCCCATCCTTTGCATGGATCCTTTCTCCATTGAACAGCCAGGGTGGTACTTTGAAAAATGTCACTAGATTTCATCATTCTCTTACTCAAAGCCCTTCATTGGCTTTCCTACCCCCCTTAGAATAATGTCCAAGCTCCTTAAGATGGTCTACAAGGCCCTAAAGGATTTGGTCCCTGTATTCCTTTCTACTTAATCTCCTGTCCCTGGTGCATGGAGGATGACAAGGTGCCAGCCAGTGTGGCCTGGGAGGAGGACCTTCCAGCAGAAGGAAGAGC